GGCGGAAGGATTGCTGGAGCCCAGCGGGTCGAGGCTGCGGTGGCCGGGAGCGGCCACTGCACTCCAGTCTGGGTGACAGAGTGAGACTCCAACTCAAAAAAAAAAAAAAAAGAGATTTAGTATAAAGCTACAGTAATTAAGACAGTGTAGTATTGACAAAAGAATGCACAGGTTGATCAGTGAAGTCAAAATAGAAAGCCCAGAAGCAGCCCTGCATAAAGCTGACTAATTTTTTACAAAGGAGCAAAGGCAATACAATGGAGTAAAGATAGTCTTTCAACAAATGGTACTAGAAGAGCTGGACATCCACATGCAAAAAAATCCATTTAGTATTTGTACTGTATACTCTTCACAAAAATTAACTGGAAATAGAGCACAGACCTAAATGTAAAATACAAAACTATAAAATTCTTACAAGATAACTTAGGAGAAAATCTAGGTGACCTTGTATTTGGTAATGGCTTTTTAGATATAACACCATAGGCACAGTCCTTGAAAGAAGGAATTGATAAGCTAGACTTCATTAAAATTAAAAATGTGCTGCAAAAGGCACTGTCAGCAGAATGAAAAAACAAGTCATAGCCTGGGAGAAATATTTGCAAAAGACACAGCTAATACTGGACAGTTATCCAAAATATACATAGAACTCAACAGTAAGAAATCACACAACTTGATTTCAAAATAGATCAAAGGAAATGGTCACCTTACCAAAGAAGATGTACAGATGGCAAATAAACCTATGAAAAGATGCTCCATGTCATGTCATTAGAGCAATGTGAAGTAAAGCAACAATGAGGTACCTATTAGAATGGCTAAAATCCAGAACACTGGCCATTTGCTGGTAAGGATGGGTAGCTCAGAAACTCTCATTTTTGGCTGGTGGGAATGTGAAATCATACAGCCTCTGTAGAGGATAGTTTAGTGGCACTTTATGAAACTAAACGTACCTTTACCATACCCCTCAGCAGTCATGCTCCTTGTATTTACCCAAGAGACTTGAAAACTTTTGTCTAAACATAAACCTGTACATGGATGTTTGTAGCAACTTTATTAAACATTGTCAAAACTTGGAAGCAACCAAGATGTCATTTAGTAGGTGAATGAATAAATGGGCTGTGGTAAATCTAGACGATGTAATATTATTCAGTGCTGAAACAAAATGAACTATCTAGCCATGAAAAGACATGGAAGAACCTTAAATGTATATTACTAAGTGAAAGAGCCAATCAGGAAAGGCTTCATACTGTATGATTCTAACTATTTAAGATGACAGGAAAGGAAAAACTCTGCAAGGCAGCCCCTGTCACTGCTCAGTGATCTCCATTCTTAGGCAGGCCCTTATATTGTGCCAAAATCTTCATGAAACTTTCACCAGCCACCCTGGTTGTGGACTCTAGAACCACTGATGTCATCAGTGTGACAGAAGTTAGCTGATGTGTTTTCATGCAGTTCTTCTCTCTCCCCTAAATGCCTTGTTTCCTGAACTATTCCCCCTCTGCAGGTTTCTGATTTTCTGATTACCCTTCTTTGAGTGTTCATTCACTGCCAGTGACTCCCTTGAAAGATAGATGACTGAAAACCCCTATGCTTTTACAGCTGAAGAGCCTTTTGGTGTATGGATATATGACAACTTATCCAGTGCTCTGTGGATAAACATTACTTTGTTTCCAATCCGTTGCTGTTATGATAATGCAGTGAAAAGTTTCTGTAGAATAACTTCCCAGGGAAGGAATAGTCAGGTGGAAGGGTATGCATATATAAAATAGGAAGTATTATTAAATGTTGATAGATTGCTTTTTGTAGAGTTTTTTCTATTTTACCTTCTTATCAGAAGTCTGTGTGAAAATACCTTTTTCCCATAAGGCCTCCAGCACAGTGTGTTGTTCTAACATTTGTATATTTTTGAATCTGACAAGTGTAAAGTGGTATCTCATTTTGATTTTAATTTGCATTTCTCTTTGTTTTGAGAGAAGTTGAGTATCTTTTCATATTTTTAAGAATCCCCGCCCCTTTCCCTGGAAGCTTTGCAGGTCTTGTTTATCTTTGGTGTTCTAAAAATATATTATGTCTTGTTAGTGTGGGGTTTTGGGTCATCAGTCATGTCATCCACCAGAGTGTGCTCTTTTGGTCTTAAAACTTGTATTCTTTGGTTCTGAAAAAATCACCTTATTTATTTGACGCTTTTTATTTTCTCTGTTTTTACTTTATCTGGAAACTCCTATTTTGAGGTTTTAACTATTAAAACTTTGAAGTTTTAAAAATTTATCTATTTACCCTTTTATTTACTTAAAAAAATTATAATGATGGATACATGTCTATACATTTGGCAAACCCATAAAATGTACAACACCCAGAGCACGCCCTAATAAAAACTAAGGACTTTGAGTGATAATGATCATCCATGTAGGCTCGTCCATTGTAACAAGTGCATTACTCTGATGGGGGAATGTTGATAATGGCAGAGGCTATCCCTGTATGGGGGCAGAGGATATATGAGACATCTCTGTACTTTTTGCTTAATGTTTCTATGAACTTGAAACTGCTCTTATAATGTCTGTTTTAAAGAAAAAAAAATTGCAGCAATATGGATGCATCTAAAGACCATCATCCTGAGCAAATTATCACAGAAATAGAAAACTGAATGCCATGTTTTCTCCCTAACAAGCGGGAGCTGAGCACTGTATGCACATGGGCACGTGGATGGGAAACAGAGACTCTGGGGCATCCTAAAGTGGTGGTGGGGGTGTAAGAGCTGAAAACTACCCACTGGGTACCATGTCCACCACCTGGGTGATGGGCTCAGTAGAAGCCCCAGCCTCCCTATCATACAATATTCCTATGTAACACATCTGCATATGTACCCCTGAATCAAAATCGAAAATAAAAAAAGGAAAAATGAGCAGTCATGTTTTTAATTTTCTAAGCTACCCATTTTTCTCTGATTTGCTATTTTCCTGAACATCCTATTTTTTTGTCTTGTGGATATAATATCATATTGAATGTCTCTGTGTGTACAAGCAGATCTTCCTGAAAGCTCTCTACTGTTCCTGAAATATCCATCTCATGTGGTGTTATTTTGGTGTTTATCTTAGTCTTGTAGGCCACCCGAGGAACAACAAAAAGCTGATTTAGAGCTCTGAGTAAGTAGGGCAGGCCTGTCAACCAGTGCACTGTTTAGGTTGAGCTGACAGGAAGCCAGCTGTTCTGTTGGGGAACCCCTAAATCCCAGCAAGTGAAGGTCTTTGTTCTAGGGCACCAGTGTTCACAATGTCTGTTCCAATTCCTTTCTGATTTGTGTGATTTCTCTCTGATCTTTTGTCTGAGAAAAGTTGAGGTCCAACACTTGGCTGCTGGGAGTTCTGCAGTCAGGGTAGAGGGATTTTGAAGGAAGATGTCCACTGATCCCCGAAGGACTTTAAATCATTCCATATGTTTTCAGATTTGTGTCTCAGTCCCACCCTGACCAAACCAGGTGTTTTCCAACCTGGAGCTCCCTGATGCTTTACCACGCAGGTTGGCCATTCCACACAGCAGGCTTATCTGTGCTACTTGGGGCTCCTTCTTCTGCCACATACTCTGAAACTCTGTCATCCAGTTTCCTATTCCTGTACTCTATACTGTTGCTGATGCATATTTTCATATTCCCTATAACATTCTGATGGGTCTCAAAAGGTAGAGAAGAATCACATGTAATCTCTTACCGCCTTGATCCAGAATATCTTTCTTAAAGAATACAGTATCTGTATTTTTCACTTGCATCTTTTTTTACCCCTTGAATCTATCTTCAACTCTTTATTATAGTATACTTTATTTTGGCCTGGGTAGTTAGTGCCGTACCCTTTTTATGTCCATAAGGAGTGACTTGACCTAGGGCTTAGAGTTAATAAGTGGCAGGACGAATAAACCTCCGTATCTTTGGACCTTGTTGCTATTGCACTGTACTGTTTCTCCATATCTATTGGTCCTGTCCTCTCAGAGATCTGTGAGTTGCTCCTTCCTCTTTGTTCCTGAATTGTGTTCTGAGAAAAGATTTCTTTCATCTCCTTTTTTATTCTCATTAACTGAAGTTGATCCTTGAGCCTTGACAGCCACATTTTAGCAGAATAAGAATCACATATAGTTTAAGTAGTCATTGAATAATAGTTTTGATGTTTCTGATAAACTGCCCTAAAGAGGTCAATAGTTGCTTCTTGAATCAAACCTTCACAAAGAAGAGTGACAGAATATTTGCCACGGTCATTTTTGGTTTTGCTTTTGTTGTTTTTCTGTTTTGGTTTTGGTGTAAAGGAGTGGAATCAGGACAGAAGTTCAACAAGTATTTAGGTAATCTCTACGTAAATTCTAATGATGACTAATATAGGGAAGTTTTAAAAAACAGATACCTTTTTTTTTCTTTGTGTTGGAGTCTTACTTTGTCACCCAGGCAGGAATGCAATGACACATTCATGGCCTCTGCAGCCACAACCTGCTGGGCTCAGGTGATTCTTCTGGCTAGTTCCAGTAGCTGGAACTACAGGCATGTGCCATCAGGCCCAGCTAATTTTTGATTTATTATAGAGATGAGGTCTCGCCAAGTTGTCCAGGCTGATTTCGAACCTCTGGGCTCAGGCAGTCCTCATGCCTCTGCCTCCCAAAGTGCTGGGATTACAGGCATAATAGCAGTTTGAAATAGTTCTTTACTGACCTAATCATGTTAATTGCTAAGATTATATTTCACAAGGTACATAGTGGTTTGGTATTTAATTTTTCATTTAAAAATGGTGATAGTCACAAATATTCTGAACTAGACTAATTATAATTACTTTCATTCAGATACTGAATATAAGAGTATATAATCCTCTTGTTTGTATGTGGTAAGAAAGACTGTACTATGTGTTTTTCTGATAATGACCTTTTCATTTCTTTGAGCTTGTTCACAGAATATAAAGGTAATTATGGCTCCATAGGAAAACATGTGCTAGATGAACATAAAGATTCTATCTTATCTTTTTAAAAAATAGGAGCAGATGTCTCAAGTATTAGATGCCATGTTTGAAAAATTGGTCAAAGATGGGGAGCATGTAATTGATCAAGGTGATGATGGTGACAACTTTTATGTAATTGATAGGTAAGTTTTGCCCAACCTTACTACTGAAATTTAAATAACCTTTTGTTCTTAAAATACCAGTGGTATTATGGCAACTGATAAGTTAATATGTGATAGTTGTTGATGCCTCTTTATTTTTTTGCTACATAATGTGCCCTGTGAACCTGTTATGAATACATGCAGCAAAACCACAATAGATCATGAAAAGCAGTGTCGTTTATAGAGAAACTGATGACTTTTGGTTAGTCCAATCTATAAATCCCAGTCACTTAATGTGAGCATTTCTTCATATGTTGAATTCTATTTGAGGTAGTATGTAATAGATGCTTATTATAATGAGAATAGCAGTGTAATACAATGTCTAAGATGTTAATCCACGGTAAAACTCATTCTCTGTTATTTTTTAAAAGATTTTTTTTTTTTTTAAACTATAAAGTAAAACATGTCCATAGTCTAAAAAATTGAAATATTTACGAGGGCATAAGGTGAAAAGTTTGTCTTTCTTCCTACTGCTTGAGCATTAACTAGTCAGTATAGTGAGTGATTTGTGTGTCCTTCCGGAACTTGTTTGTACATTATTATATTTGTCCTTTAAAAACCTCTATAGAGAAATTATTTTATTTAAATGAGAAGGCATACATTTACATTGAACATCTATTTTCACAAAATTTAAGTTGTACTTTATCTTATCAGAAAACAATGTGCCTTATGTGATAAATACATGAGTTCTAAAACGTAATAGGGAACAGTCTGAACTGAGTGTTTATTTCTTCACTTTTGTAAAATGGTGATAAAGTGTTCATGAGATAATTGGTATCCCTAACCCCTCTCATTCTGTAGGGAACACAAGTCATCTCCCAGCCTGATTTATTATTGGATTACATTTGCTCTCTGAGTAGGGTTGTGTTTAACTCAGAGGTCTTGCTGAAAGTGACCTCTTTTGTCTCTTTAAGCCTTATTTTTTGATCTTGCCTTTGTGTGTGGTATTTTTTATCTATCAGTTGTGCATGCTTTTTGAATCAAGGATTTTTGCTGATTCCTTCATTTCCTAATCTCTAATGCCTTACTGATCTATTGCCGAACACTAACCAGAATTTTAGAATAGAAAAAAACCAGTTGTCTGTAGGTAAATCAAAGTCACAGCCTGGCTCAGTGGCTCAAGCCTGTAATCCCAGCACTTCAGGAGGCAGAGGTGAGAGGATTGTCTGAGCCCCCGGGTTCGAGACCAGCCTGGGCAACTTGGTGAGACCTTGTCTTTTACAATAAATAAAACAATTAGCCGGGCATGGTGGCGTGTGCCTATGGTTCCAGTTACTTGGAAGGTTGAGGTGGAAGGATCACCTGAGCCCAGCAGGTCGAGGCTGCAGTGGCCATGAGCCCTCTCACTGCTCTCCTGCCTGGGTGACAGTGATACTCTGACTCAAAAAAAAAAAGTCACAATTTTCATATTATTATCAGCTTTCATTGGCCAGGTGTAGTGGCTCATGCCTGTAATCCCAATACTTTGGGAGACCGAGGCGAGAGGACTGCTTGAGCCCAGGAGTTAAAGACCAGCCGGGGCAGCAGTGTGAGAGCCCGTCTTCACAAAAACAAAATAAAAAGAAACACCAGCTTTCATCAATAAAGCACCTTAGAAATTCACTGCACTGTTTGTAGAGGCATATTAGAACCCCAAACCCTAGACAGCATTCATATTTTAAAATTTTCTTACCTTTGTATCGAGTTCATTCCCTTTTCAGTTAGATGCTAATTACCCATTTGATGGATGAAAATACTCAGGCGTACAGCAGTGATGGAATTTTGTTCATCACTCAAATGGTCAGGAGAGAGCTGACCTCACTGCCAGGTCTCCTTGTCCTCATCCATGCTTTCTTGGTGGCTTTGCACTGCCGGAGGCCTCACACTGTCAGGGAAGAAATCTGTATGAAAAAGCACCACAGGATTTTAACAGACTTGAGACTGATGTCATTTTGCTGAACTGGTAGCTCATTTTATTTCTATCCATGAATTACATTAAAACCCAAATTATCTTATTCTTTAATCATAAATCTTTTTTGTCTGTTGTTTTATGTTTCTGCTCTTATTGTGTCTTTACCATAATCCTTTTCTAATCTTAAAAGCCACTCCCTTTTTTGCCACCACCCTTCTCCTTTTTTTTTGTTAGGGATTAGTCAATAGAATAAAGCCCAAGACCTTTTTCTGTCTGCCCTCACAGGTGCTTGGTGCTTCAGCAAGCCTTGAAATGATGCTCTCTCTGATAAAATACAGTATGTAGAAAGCCAGTTCTCTCCAGGAAGAATGTAGTTTATATAAATAAAAGGTCTGGGTAATATGTAGTGCAGTGACATGCAAGCTAAGTCTTATTGCTTAGAAAAAGAACCTCAGTTCAGAGCTTAGCACAGAAAAACTAGGAAAAGACCAGTTAGATATTTAGTCTGAATTTCCAGTTTTAAACTTTAGGTTGGAGGCTGATCTAAAGTAAAGGGCCAGAGAGGAATTTTTTAGTCTTTGCAGATCAATATGGTCCCTGTTGTAACCCTCAGCTCTGCTGTTGTAGCACAAAACCAGCCATAGATAATGCATTCATGAACAAATGTGTTTATAATGCAGTGAGACCTTGTTTACAAAACCAAGCAACCAATCTGTGGGCCATAGTTTGCCATCTTCTGCTGTAAATTAGAAAGGACCCTAGTAAGTTTTATAGAGTAGTGACTAACCAAATTGTGACTGTTATATTCTTTTAAAAAATAGTTTTTGTCTGATTTCAAAAGTAATACATGTTCATTTTAGAAACAAACTCTTAAATTAGATAACAAATGTCCATGAAATCTCTCATTGTTCTTATACTCTGAAACAACAGTGGTAGGATACATGTTTCTTCCACTGATTTTCTGTGCATATACTATTTGGTTGTAGTCTTAGTTATAGTTTTGGCATTTATTTTGTTATCTTAAATATTATTGTGTAGCCCCATTTTCCCCAGAGGCACATGGCCTGGATCAGATTGGGACTTATCGATGTCTTTTTATTACTTGTTGTTATCAGAGGGATAGACAGGCTGGAAATAAGATTTTATTGCACAGGCTCCTTATTTCTCTGAAATAATGTTTCATTTTAATGGGATTTTACTTGAAGTACTTTTACCTCTATTTTACATATGTCCAACAGAGGCACATTTGATATTTATGTGAAGTGTGACGGTGTTGGAAGATGTGTTGGTAACTACGATAATCGTGGGAGTTTTGGCGAACTGGCCTTAATGTACAATACGCCCAGAGCAGCTACAATCACTGCTACCTCTCCTGGTGCTCTGTGGGGTTTGGTGAGTAAAATATTTATTTGACCTAAATGTTATCATTTGTAACAAATGTTATTACAGTAACCAAGTAGATACAGTATTTTAACAGGGATCATCAATCATCAGGGTATTTAGTAAACAACTACTGGATACCAAACTGTAGGGCACTAAGACTGTGTGCTAAGTCAGTCCTGCATGTCCTTTCCCCACTTTCTCCAGTCAAGTCGGGAGCTTGAGACCTGCTGGCTTTGTGAAAGTCACTTAGATCTAAAATGTTCCTCTCTTACCCGTTCTTAAAAAATAGCCAGCTAAACAAAGCCTTCAGCGCTTTTTCTCAGATGGCTTTCTGCTGAGGTAGGTATTATAATCTAATACATCAGTGGTTTCCAAAGTGTGGTCCCATATCACCTGGGAACTTGTTAGAAATGCTGGTTCCAGGGCCCCCACCTGCTGATTCTGACTTACTGAAGCAAATTCTGGAGGTGGAGCCCAGCAGCCTCTGTTTGAAAAAGCCCTCCAGGTGATTCTGACACAACCCAGAGTTTGAGAAACCAATATAAGCTGACTCTCTTGGTGGTATACATTGCTAACAGCTTTGTATTTAAAAACAGTTGTATAGAGGAAAAAAAAAAATACTTGGTGCCTGTGCTCATGTGACTGTACATCAGAATTACCTGGGGTATTTTTAAAAATCCTCTTGCCTAGGTCCCACCACAGGCTAATGTAATACAGGTGTCTGGCAGGAGGACCTGGGTGGTAGTACTTTTAAATACATTTCTTAATGGTGGTATTTCTGCAAGATTTAAAAGCTGGTTTAAAGATCTATTTGGGCAAGGGGAGGGGGTGGGGAGGGATGTTCTTTTCACATATGATGGGATGCAAATTACTAGCTACTACTAAAGCTAGTTCTGGAGGATTGTGTTTAAGGTAGTGATTCTCAAACTTTAATGTGCTTACAGATCACCTGGAAATCTAGTTAAAATGCAGATTCTGATTCAGTGAGTCAGGGGTGTGGCCTGTGCTTTTGTATTTTTCATAAGCTCCAAGGAGATGCCAGTGCTGGCTGGCGTCAGACCATACTTTAAGCAGCACCAGTTTAAGAGCATGTTTACAATACAAGTATTTTATTTTAAAATTGTTGAAAACAAGACCAGCCTAGGCAACATGGCAAGACTTTGTCTATACGGAAAAAATCAAAACAATAGCCAGGTGGTGTGCTACTCCTAGCTACTCAGGAGGCTGAGGTGGAAGGACAGCCTGAGCCTAGGAGGTTGAGGCTATGGTGAGCTGTGATTATACTACTGTACTCCAGTCTGAGTGACAGTGTGAGACCCTGACTCAAAGTAAAATAAAATATTTGAAAACAGCCCACTCTATAGTTTTGATGTGCATTTATTAGTTTATTTCTCTCAAATCATTTTGTGAAAGGAGAAGAGGCTGAAATAAATATGAAGCTTGTTAACAAATATAGCATGATCTAAGTCACACATTATTTAATCACAATTCAGCATTTGACTGTAAAGTAGATTCAGCTGATAAAAATATCTCTTGATCAGAGAAACAAGACACTTTATATTTCTTTTCACTGGGACTGGGCAGATATTGTATACTTATTAAAAATGTGATGAGTCACTTTTTAAAGTTTTCGAAGAAAAATTGGAATTGTTTCAGGTGGAAGGAAACTCATCAGTTGAAGTGTTTTAAAGATTATCAAAGATTTGAATACCCAAAGCTAGCAAAGAAAAAGCTCTAAACCAGGGCAGACCTTGGTTCACAGACCTTGTTTGCCTGTCATCAAAGTGCTGGGATAAATCTAGCATCTGCCATGACCTGTTTTATTAAGGGAGGTATAATTTAGAAACTTAGTCATTCCAGTGGGCTTGCCAGCCAGTGTCCAGTCGTCAACAGTGATGAAAACTCCTTGCACATTCTCAGAATAAGATAAAATATTTTGCAGGTTGCCTCTTTGTGGGGCCTCTTTGAATACTGATAGTTTTTATCCCTGGTGGAAACCTTAATTAGGTATAGAGGGCCCAGAATTTCCCAGTGTATATAATACTTAAGCTCCCAAGAAGGATTGAGCATGTTCAGAGATTTTTAGTAGTCTATACATATTATAAAACTTTATAAAAGTGGGCAATTGGTGATAATCACCTTGGGGTATATGTATAAGTGTAATAATAGCTTTTTAAAAAAAATTAGAGTAATTAACATAGTTACTTAATATTTCAAACCTGCTTTTTGAGAGCAACTTGCCTGACTGGCCCCTTCTCAGGCAAAGTTGAGTAGAAAATAAGTTTTTCTTTGAAGGCCAACAGACTGGAGCTCTGCCGTGTAATTGCAGCTGTAACAATAAGCCAGTCGCGAGGGAAAAGTCCCTTATAGAATAGCCTAACTCTCTAAATATATTTGGTCACTGTTAGCCTTGGGGATTAACTGATCTACATGACCATGCTGATGATCCGGAGGGGTGATTATTGACATGACTTCAAGATGAAAGCACTTGAAATTCTGGACTTTATATGTCATAGTGGGTGTGAAGAGGTGAGCCACTAATAGACTATTTTTTGAGAGATATAACTCATTATGATTAATTTCTAAATTGCTAAGCTATTCTGGGTCTTCTCTGCTTTGCAATAAACTCTGTCCATAAAAGGATGTTGTACCTGGTTCCCAAACCTGATTATATATCAGAATCACTTGTGGAGCTTTTATGAAATACAGATTATTGAGCCCTACATGGAGAGATTTTGAGTCATTAAGGTCTGGGATCTCAGAAATCTTTTTTAATACTACAGCTGGTTCTGATGCAGAGCCAGGCTTGGAAATGATTTCAATATTTGTAAAATTTTCTCTTTTTAAAAAAGTATTACAACTACAGCAAGTCCAGGCCGGGTGCAGTGGCTCAGCCTGTATCCCAGCACTTTGGGAGGCCGAGGTGAGAGGATTGCCTGAGCCCGGGGGTTCGAGACCAGCCTGTACAACTTGCTGAGACCTCGTCTCTACAATAAATCACAAAAACTAACCAGGCGTGGTAGCATGCATCTGTAGTTCTAGCTACTTGGAACACTGAGATGGAAGGATCGCCTGAGCCCAACAGGTCAAGGCTGGGATGGCCGTGAGCTTGCCCCTGCCTGGGCAACAAAGAGTGAGACTCTAGCTAAAAAAAAAAAAAAAAAAAAAAAAGAGAGAGAGTATAGCAAGTCCAAATTATAACCAATATCAAAATTGTAATAAACTGGGGAACAAGATGTTTAATTTCCTAGTGCCTTAGTCCTTTTGGACTACTATAACAAGCTTTCATGGAATGGGTGGCTTAAACAGCAAATGTTTATTTCTCACATTTCTGAATGCTGGGAAGTCCAAGATCAAGGCCCTGGAAGATTTGGTGTCTGGTGAAGGCCCATTTCCTGGTTCACAGATGTCATCTTCCAGCGGTGTCCTCACATGGTGGAAGGGAAATGGGAGCTGGCTGGGTTCTCCTTTATAAGGGCCCTAATTGTGTCTCCCAAAGGCTCCACCACCAAATACCTGAGGTTGGGGGGGATCAGAGTTTCAACATATGAACGGGGGGGGGCACACAAACATTCATTCCATCACACTCAGAGACTTACATCTGCCCTGGCATTTTTCTCCATCATGCTAGTTCATTTAAATTTAGCCATAATATTTTGGCATAATACTTTACTAATTAAATGACATACTCTGATTTTATCTTATTAAAACGGTGTAATTGTTTATCAGTGAATACCAAACCTAACATAATTATGGGGGCTTTTATTTAAGAATTAAAATAATGTTTTATGAGAAATTTCTCAGAATAAAATTTTTAGGGAAATCAGTTTTTGTGCTGTTATCCTTGAAAATTTCTTCAATTGAGTTCTGCATCTTTGAGGTCATGCAGCATAAGCATAAGTAGGAACATTTTATTTTTTTGAGTCAGAGTCTCACTCTGTCGCCCAGGCTGGAGTGCAGTGGCACACTCACGGCCACCACAACCTCAACCTTCTGGGCTCAGGCGATCCTTCTGCCTCAACCTTTCAAGTAGCTGGAACTATAGGCAGGTACCGCCACGCCTGGCTAATTTTTTTATTTATTGTAGAGACGAGGTCTCACAATGTTGCTCAGGCTGGTCTTGAACCCCCGAAGCTCAGGCAGTCCTCTTGCCTCCACCTTCCAAAGTGCTGGGATTACAGGTGTGAGCCACCACGCCCAGCAAAATAGGAACATTTTAGACTGTGAACATGATCGATACTAGAATTAGACCTTATTCAAGAAGAAAGTGGTAGTTTCTCTGTGCCTTTACATTATTTTTTTTCTTGAGTTGGAGCCTCACTCTGTCACCCAGGCTGAAGTGCAGTGGTGTGCTCATGACCATTGCAGTCTCAACCTGCTGGGCTCAGGTGATCTTTCTGCCTCAGCCTTTGAAGCAGCTGGAACCAGAGATGTGTGCCACCACGCCTGGCTAATTTTTAAAAAAATTTATGGTAGAGACCAGGTTTTGCCAAGTTGCCAAGCTGGTCTTGAACCTCTGGGTTCAAGCAGTCCTTTTGCCTCCACCTCTCAAAGTGCTGGGTAAATGACAGGTGTGAGCCACCACGCCTGGCTCCTATTTTTAAAAATAAAATTCTGATATACTGTGGATATGAAAAAGAAACTAGAGTGCATAGCTTTTCAAGGTCTTTTATAATTTTTATGATTTTACAAATTTTTCTAAAAAGATGTCTTTTTTTTAACTGCAAAGTAGATTAAGGAACACGTTAGTAACATCACTGTTAGTGCATTTGTTTGTGTGTCTTTGTGTATGGCTGAAATAAATACTTATCTCATTCAAGGATTTTCTGTTCTACTTTATTTTCTAAAAAAATGCTGGTCATATTCCACCTGATTGATTTTGCAGCCTCCTAGAACTGCTACCCATAGGAAAAAAAAAAAAAAGCACAGTGCTAGTTTGTAAAATGGTGTGAGAGCGCCTCCTTGTGGACACAGTTCCACATGCTAGTCAGACTTCTGAGGAATAAAAGTAAACTGATGCTTCCTTTGAAAATAATATTTTATGTGGTTTTATATTTTGTACTTGAAGAAATAAAACTATGAAATGAGTTGCATTAAAAGTATAATGATGTTAATCTTGTATTTAAAAATCTTCAGTTATTGTTTGTTTCTTATGGGGAATAAAATAAAACTTGTTCAGACTTTTCTCACCCATAAAACCTGTCTTTTGACTGTCTTTGTATTTGATATTCTGCCTTTAGGACAGGGTAACCTTCAGGAGAATAATTGTCAAAAACAATGCCAAAAAGAGGAAAATGTATGAAAGCTTTATTGAGTCACTGCCATTTCTTAAATCTTTGGAGGTGAGTATATGTTTATGCTTTTATTTATTTTACTTTAAAAGCTTTGTTTTTACTAGGAATATTTAATTCTGTAGGAAATTTTATTTGAGTAAAAAATATATCCATATTTTCATTTGAAAAGATCAAATGGTGGTGTTAGTTTTTATAATTCAGTATTTCCTTTACTATCTGTAACTGCGTTTGTTTTGCTAGCTAAAAGTAATAGACTACTTACTCAGCATCTATAGCAAATTTATATGTGATCTTTATCTAATAGCAAACTTAAAATAATCATATAAATGTAGACAAGATCCACCAGTTGTGTCTTTATAGGGAGGAGTTATTGAAACACAGAATGTTCTCGCTGGCTTCTCCTTCCCAGTCATGTTTCCTGTTTATTTGTCTTCTCTTTTCCTCTTAAAATTGGCATTCCAGGCTTTGTCCTTGGCCTCTTCTCTTTCCAGGGTACACTTATTCACTTGGTGAACATGTCAAATCCCTTGGCCTTACATATAGATACTTCTTGACTTACAATGGGAGTACATCTCAGTGAACCCATCACAAGTTAAAAATAAGAAGTCGAAAGTGCATTTAATACGCCTAACCTACCAAACAGCATAGCTTAGCCTAGCCTTTCTTCTACGTGCTCGGAACACTTAAATTAGCCCACAATTGGACAAAATCATCTGGCAACACAGTCCAGTGTAGAGGATTAGTTGTTTACCTGATGATTGCATGGCTGTCTTGGGTGCCGCGGCTCACTGCCACTGCCCAGCATCGTACCACGTTATCACTAGACCAGGAAAAGATCAGAATTCAAAATTAGTTTTTAAAATGCATATTGCTTTCAAACAGTTATAAGGTCGAAAATTCATAAATTGAACCAATGTAAATTGGGGACCTTCTAATCTGTCCTGTCTATATCCTAATGCCTCCTGAAATTGACATCACTGGGCAAGGCCCCTCCCGTGAATGCCAGATTCATTTGTCCAACTGCAAATTGAAGATCTCCTCTAGGTTGTCTAATAGCTCAAACCTAACACATCCTAAATCTCCTCCTCCTCTTTCTTCCTTGTCTCAGTAGAGAGAACACCACCCTTCCATTGTCTGAGGCCAGAAACTTTGGAGTTATCACTGACCCATCTGTGTTCTCCACCCATGTCCAGTCTGTTAGTAGTCTTACCTGTCCAGTCTGTTAGTAGTCTTACCTGCCCCGTCTTTGGAATGTGTTCAGCATCCGGTCATCTTGTGCCAATTTCACCATCATCCTCCTCTGCCTGAGCCATCACCACCTCTGTGCCTGGCTTATTGCAGCCGCTAGAATAATCATTTAAAAACCCATTCAGTGGCACTCCTCTGTCTAAGACCCTCCTCACACAGCCTCAGAGGCTCCACACCGTCTGTCCCATGCCACACCCATTCCCCTTGGACTCTGTTTCCTACTGCTCTACACCCCTTACCCACTGGACATATGCTAGCCTCTTGCGCTACCTCAGACATGCCTGGCTCACACCTACCACAGCATCTCTGTACTCGCTGTCTATCTGGAATATTGTCTTCCATGGCCCCATGGCTCCTTCCCTCATTTTTTTCATTTCTTAGCCCAGGTGTCTTCTCAGTGACACCAACTGTTAGGTTTTTATCTTTGAAGGTAGAGGTTTAAAAGAGTGGCTTGTTGTTACCCTAAAAAATTCAACTTTACTTTTTATATTTTATTGTTAAATTCAATGTTTTTCTAGATATTTTAGTCTCATTTCAAATATTTTGAGAGTAATTCAAAAGGGACATATATGAAGGGGAACCCAAAACAACTGGAATTTGTTTATAAAAAAGTGTGTATTTACTCTTACATATATACTGTGGCTATGTGGATCTTCAAAGTCCTCTCTGTTTGATGCAATACACTTATCAAGATGCAGTTTCCACTGCTCAAAACAATTTTTGAACTGAGTCAATTTTGATACCTTTTAGTGCTTCTGCCGTTTTTTGGTTCCACCTCTTCCACATCGGCAAAATGTTTCTCTTTGAGTACATTTTCCTTCTGGGAAAACAAAAGTCACTCGGGGCGAGATCTGCTGAATAGGGTGGGTGAGATATGGGGGCATGCTGTTTTTGATGAAAAACTGCTGAACACAGCGCGGTGTAGGCAGGTGCACTTGTAAATCATGCATCTTGAAATGGGCAAATGTGTTGAAAAAATCTCCAAAAAAAACCTCACTGAAGTCACATAGCCTCTTACAACAATGCTAGTTGGTACACTGATGCCAGTGGGTTCCTAGAATACTTACCTAGTGGGGGAAGCCTGTACTACAAGGGGCCTGCTCCCCAAAAGATAATTGCTTTTGTTTTTTTGTTTTTTTCTCTCTTGTACATTTACTCACAGTGTCTTATAAAATGTCAGATGTTAAAATAGAAGTGGTTCTCCTTTCTGATGTCTCTGTTGGGTTGTCAGTTTATGCCCGGTAGAAACATTGGCTACGTTACAGAATGCATATTAGGCAGCTGGGCTTCTCCAGCAGCATACCTCTTTAAACAAAAATAGGTCAGGGGTTGGAAACCCAATACCTTCAGAATGGGGCAAGAAACACAGAGAAGAAAACCAGTCCAGGAAGGAACTTTTGCAGATTGGAGAGCATGCAGTCTATCTAAAGAAACAGCTGCTAGTCCACCATAGTTTTATTGTTGGCCATGTGGAAATATGGGCTGAGTGTTGCGGTCTTCTAATTTTTTGAGAGAAGGTAGAAATTAAAATTTTTGTGAAAAAATTACTTGAAAATGCTAAAGTTAAGACAACAAACACACATACAGCCTATACACTGCTCAATTTATTTGTCCTACAGGCTACCAGTTTTTAACCTCTAAGATAGGATTACCCAGTTGATTTATTTCTATTTAATATTGTCTTTTTTTTCTTTGTAGGTTTCTGAACGCCTGAAAGTAGTAGATGTGATAGGCACCAAAGTATACAATGATGGAGAACAAATCATCGCTCAGGTATAATATTTTGAAAAGTAATTCAGTTTAGGGTTATATTCCAAAAGCTTTTTATATGTTGTGAATCTTGGCAAACTTTTCATATGTTTCTTTAATTAGTATGCAGTGATGGATGAAATAAATGTGACTTCTGCCTAGTGATCTGTTAAAATGGTTTAATTTACAGCTGTTAAGCTATTTGAATATTTTTGTTTATTTAATTAACTCCTAATGAGTGTTTTAAGCCATCAGATGACTTTCTGCACAATTTTATGTTTGTACATGGCATGAAATTCACATGTATATGAAGACTAAGATGTCATTTATAAAAGGAAAAAAATAGGTGAGTGTTCCATGAGATTATTGAGGACCCAGAAGGTGCACTGGAAGGTACTGTAGAGTGGGGCATGATCAGTTCATGACGAAACCGCCTGTGGCTGCTCCCTGAGAGAATTCACCAGGAAGGGAACACACTGCACCACACCCTGTGTAGGCTTCCAAGCACTAAGTGTGGAACAACATGTTATCTAACACCTCTTGCTTTCTTAAGAAAGATCCCCGTTGGAACCGTTAGTATTGCATACCTCTGTTAGAATGGACTACCAAAAAGTAGAATTTGTGAAAACAGTTGGAAATTCACAGGTAAAGCATGCAGAGGATAGTACCTTGTTTCCTAGTTACATTTCTTGTAGCATTGAGCAAATGATTAAAGGTCTTTTTCATAGATTCTATTTTTGTACATAGTATTGTGCTGTATTATACTCTTTATCTGAAATATTATTTCTTTCTTTATATGTGAAACAAGATACAAGGTCTGTGAGACCGAAGGAAGATAATTGTTTTAGAAGGCAAACAAGTAAATCTCTCAATCAACCTCCTAGCTACTTCTCTGTGGATTAGAGCAGTCAGGAACTGGGAAAAAGCAGAGTCAAACAAGGTTCTACTATATAAACTGGTAGATAACAAAACACAGAGCACATTTTAATGTTTTTTAGGTTTTATTTTTGAAGTAAGTATGGATTCACAGGACATTGCAAAAAGAGTTCTGAACAGTCCCTCGTACTCTTCACCCAGTTTCTCCCAGTGTATCTTGCATCACAATTGTACAATATCAAAACCAGGAAATCGACATTGGCATAATCTACAGACCTTATTCAGATTGCACCAGTTTCATACACACTCAAATTACACAGCAGCAAATAGACTTACTGTGATTCAAAACACTTGAAAATTTAACATGAAGCACTTATGAAAATCTGGTATAAAGATAAGGGACAGTTTCAAGAGGCTGTGGTGGGAGGATCACTCAAGGCCAGGAGTTCGAGACCAGCCTAGGCAACATGGTGAGACCCGCCCTCCCTGAACCTCTAAAAAAAATAATTAGCTGGGTGTAGTGGAGCAAATCTGTAGTCCCAGCTACTTGGAAGGTTGAGGCAAGAAGATTGCTTGAGCCTATGCGTTTAGACCAGCCTGGGCAATATAACAAGATCTCCTCTCAGAAAAGGGGGAGAGAAAGGAGATTTAATATATTTAGGGTTTTTAAAAGATGTTTTGCATATTAGTTGTCTTTTAAACTTTTATATACATACATATCTGTACTATATTACAGAAATTGAAATTCAACATTTATTTTTGTGATAGAATCTGATACTAAATTGTTAAAATTTGTTCTATAGAGTTTTGAAATACATAGGCTTCTCCAGAATCACTTTGAGAGGCTTAGAAAAGTCAGTGTCTGTGCTATTATCTTCCATACTATATTGTTTAATTCAGATGGCATCACTGGAAATCAAGGGAGAGTTCTAAAACAAGAAAAAACAGGTATGTAGTTAGAAATGGCAACACTTTTCTTTCAGAAGTCTTTTCAAAGACTTGGGCTAGACTGTCAGTAGACTGGCTTTGTTCAGACTTTGGTCCTTAACTAACTGTAATAAGAATGTCGAGGCCCACGTCTGGTTCTTCCTACTACATCTGAGTACTCTCTGCTCTTTTCAAGCCAATGGGTCACCTTGTGTCACCACACCAATGCTTGTAGTATTAGGGTGACACAGGGTGCATATCTTAGCACTTTCTGGGTTGCACAGGATCAGCAAACATATTCCTGCCGGCTGAGGGGACACTGCTGGGATACACAGCAGTGTTGCCATGTCTAACTATGAATGCTGCTATTCAGTCTGAATTTTGGGTGAAATTCTCACCTGTGTTATTTGGCATATTTTCTTGGCTTTAGGAGTAGTGCTGTGTCAGAGTGTGTTATTTCAAATAGTTTTACAAATGAATACTCACTACATAGCTGTCCATTGTAATCTTTCAATTTAGAAATTGAGATAACTTGTTCCCATGGGTGTTCACTTTTCAGGTTAACTGTACATGGGTATTAGACTGATTTCGGGGTTATAGTTGGCAACAAGATGATTATTATTATCAAATTAATTTGCATTTTCACACTCTGTTTTTGTTATTTTATTCTGATAGGGAGATTTGGCTGATTCTTTTTTCATTGTAGAATCTGGAGAAGTGAAAATTACTATGAAAAGAAAGGTAAGCATTCTTAAGTGCTAACACCCCACATACTATCAGTGAGGAGCATAATGTACCTTTTAATGTTTAAGGTGAACCTGTATTTTTCAGAAGCTGAGGAAAAGTTAATCTTTTTAATTACCTCGTCAGGGTAAATCAGAAGTGGAAGAAAATGATGCAGTAGAAATCGCCCGATGTTCGCGGGGGCAGTACTTTGGAGAGCTTGCCCTGGTAACTAACAAACCTCGAGCAGCTTCTGCACATGCCATTGGGACCGTGAAATGTTTAGGTAGGGATCCGCCACTGTGGGTGTGCTTCCCCTGGTTGAAATTGTTATGTCTGCATTTTATGTATTCACGTTGTACGGATCATTTTCTTGGGTGCACATATTTTGTGGGGATGTGGTCCTCACAAAATGTAACAAGGTTAGGACTCATTGCATTTTAAGAATAATTTTTAGGTCAGGCATGGTGGCTCACACCTATAATCCCAGCATTTTGGGAGGCCGAGGTAAGGGGATTGCCTGAGCCCACGGGTTCGAGACCAGCCTGGGCAACTTGGTGAGACTTCATCTCTACTGTAAATCAAAAAATTAGCTGGGCGTGGTGATACATGTCTGTAATTCCAGCTGCATGGAAGGCTGAGGCGGAAGGAACACCTGAGCTCAGCAGGTTAAGGCTGCGGTGGCTATGAGCATGTCCCTGCATTCCAGCCTGAGCAACAGAGTGAGACTCCAACTCAAAAAAAAAAAAAAAAAAAGTAATTTGTAGGAGCCATTTTTTTCCTTTGAAATTTTTACATACAAAAATACTCTTTTTTTGTATCACATCTTATTTTAGTTATAAAAATAGGAATTTCAAATACCAAGTTTTATATCTAATCTGCCAAAACAAACAAACGTGTTCTGTTCCTCAAAAGAGAAGGCTAGCACTATTTATAAATAGTGTTAATAAAGTCCATGATTAAGATCTGTGGGGATCTGTGGGGAACGTTGGAATGTCTGTGAGACGCCTTACTCATCTGAGCACTGGCTCACAAAGGTTCAGGTTAGTCAAAGTGCTGTCAAATATCTTTGTTGTTCAGCTGTTATTACTTTTTTACCAAGAGTAGCTTGGCAGAAATACCATCTTCAACTGGGAGACATCTTATGTATCTGAGAAATCACTTTAATAATGAAAAATATAATTAAAGAGATAGCAATAAGGATGACATTTTCTTTAAGAAAGTTGGTTCCCTAGTAATTTGCCTCTCTGCTCTTCATCCACAGTTCAATAGAATAAACTTAGTTTTAATATTTTTAATATTTGCAAAGATCCTCAATTAACTTCTTAGAGAAGTCACTTTTTAAAAGATTTTAAATAAGTATAATATTAATCACATGTTACACTTGAATGGAAGAAAAGACAATTAGAAACTGACAGGTAATTTCCCCGAGTAGCACTATTAGATAATAAGCAAAAGTAAAGATGATATGAGTGAAATTGTTAATTTTTTTCTATAATAATTATACTCACATTAAAGAAAATCTGAAAAATATAGAAAATGTAGAAAAAACTGGCCGAACTCGGTGACTCAACCTGTAATCCCAGCACTTTGGGAGGCTGAGGCAAGTGGATTGCCTGAGCACGCGGGTTTGAGACCAGCCTGGGCAACTTGGTGAGACCTTGTCTCTACAATAAAATTAAAAGATAGCTGGGTGTGGTAGCGCGTACCTGTAGTTTCAGCTACTTGGACGGCTGAGGCGGGAAGGATTGCTGGAGCCCAACAGGTTGACACTGGGGTGTCAGTGAGTGTGCCACTCTACTCCAACTTGGGCGACAGAATGAGACTCCAACTCAAACCCCCCCAAAAAAAAAACCCCTAAGAATCACCCACACCACCATGACCACCACAATCCAATGATTTTCACTATTTGTTTTTGTGGGGTTTTTTTTGAGTTGGAGTCTCACTCTGTCACCCAGACTGGAGTGCAGTGGCCACTCCTGGCCACCGCAGCCTCGACCTGCTGGGCTCCGGCGATACTTCTGCCTCAGTCTTCCAAGTAGCCGGAATTATAGGCATGCGCTACCACGCCCGGCTGATTTTCTTTTTATTTATTGTAGAGATGAGGTCTTGCTGCCCAGGTGGGTCTTGAACCCGCGGGCTCAGGCAATCCACTCACCTCAGCCTCCCAAAGATGCGGGATTACAGGCTGAGCCACTGAGCCTGGCTGATTTTCACTATATATGGAATAATTTCTTTTGGCCTTTTTTTTTTTGTATGAGTTTCTTGTTGTTAAACAATTTTGTAAATAGCTTTTAAAATTCATTATAGCAAAAAAAGAAACAGACATTAAAAAAAAAAAAAAAATTCATTATAGCTTAGAAATTCTCTTCTTTGATTACATCAAATTTTAACATTCTATTAGGTAAATATACCCATAATAAGTTACTTAATCATTCCCCATTGGTACATTTTTTTGAGGACTTTGGCTTCAGCTTTTTGGTGAGGAACATTTGTGCATAGAAGATGTTTCTATATATAGGGTTTTTCCATATAAATGGTTTCAGAGCATTTTTTAAAAAAAATAAATTTTGAGACATATTGCCAGATCTCTTTTATTTGAACCAATTTAAATGCAACCAGCAGTGCTAGAATGTCCATTTACCCTATTCTTGTAAACATTGCCTTTTTTACTGTTGCATATCTGAAAGGTAAAGAATATGTATTTTAATTTGTATTTTTATGGTAGAGAGTATGAGCATATTTTCTATCTGTATATTATAAGAACCATTTAAAAATGCATGAGACAGGCAAGCAAAGTGATAAGCAGCATATACTTAATTGAAGCAGACAAAGGCATCATGTTGGCTGCCATTGTGAATTACATAGACAACAGTATAAAAGAGTAAAAATTACTCTTTTTAATATTGTTGAATTACTCTTGTCGTCACCACATGGCATTAAACTGAGAAAAGAAAACAGGATAGAAAACACTCTCTGGCCAACTTTGAGAAGTTCATATTACTAAGGTGGAGACATCAAACTTTCTTTTTAAAATTCTAAGACCAGGCCGGGCTTTGTGGCTCAGCCTGTAATCCCAGAACTTTGAGAGACTGAGTCGAGAGGATTGCCCACCCGGGCAACTTGGCGAGGCCTCGTCTCTACAATAAATCAAAAATTAGCCAGGTGTGGTAGCGCATGCCTATAGTTCTGTCTGCTTGGAAGGCTGAGGCAGAAGGATCGCCGGAGCCCAGCAGGTCGAGGCTGCGGTGGCCGGCTGGGAGCGTGCCACTGCCTTCCAGCCTGGAAGTCTCACAGAGTGAGACTCCAATTCAAAAAATAATAATAATAAAATAAAATTCTAAGACCTTTGCATGACAGTCCCTCATTGTTTCCTCAGTTTGACCAGGAACTTCCCACCAAGTTAACATGGCTCAACCCATTAACAAAGAACCTGAGAGTGTGGCCCAAGAAGGCCTCGGCTGCTTCCTTTTGGAAGTGAAATAGTTTTATCTTTGTGCTTTTCAAATCTTTTTACAATATTTACCTAAAAATATCATTGTATTGCTGACACATGCAGAATGGATATTATAAATGACTTAGAAATTCTGCAGATTTTCCAAAAATGTTATTTTTCTTGTATTCTTTCCTTTTCTCAGCCATGGATGTGCAAGCATTTGAAAGGCTTCTGGGACCTTGCATGGAAATTATGAAAAGGAACATCACCACCTATGAAGAGCAATTAGTTGCCCTGTTTGGAACAAACATGGATATTGTTGAACCCACTGCATGAAGCAAAAGTATGGAGCAAGAACTATAGTGACAAAATTACGCAGTAGTGGTTAGTCCACTGAGAATGTGTTTGTGTAGATGCCAAGCATTTTCTGTGATTTCAAGGTTTATTCCTTTTTTTACATTTACACCGTTTCAATAAACAGTAGTGGTTTAATAGTCAATAGGCTTTAACATCACTTTCTAAAGAGTAGTTCAGAAAAAATCGACATAGTGATAAAATGACTTTCTATTCCACAAAATTATTTGAATGAAAGGTTTATTCACATGATTGTAATATATTGAAAGTATCTGTGTTTAAGAAGACAATTAAAGGATGTTATCATAGGCTATATGTGTTTGACTTATTCAGATTGATATCATATTAGTGACCATTCCCATATAAGAGAGCACTTGACAATGAATCATGCTACACAGCATGACATCACATTCTTTTTATAACTCATGATACATAGTAAAATTTAAATCATTTTCATTTTACAGTTTTTCTGGCTTGATAAGTTATGTGCTGGTCTTGGCCTATTGGTGAAATGGTATAAAACATCATATGCAATTTTAAAACATTTTATATTTTTGCAATAAAGCTTATTTTGACTTCTTTGGTGTAATGTCAGTAATCTACATAGTCCAGTGGTTTTAAGGACAGGCAATTTAGTTAGGATAATAGGGAAAAGAGTCTTTTAGACGAGAGAACATTAATACAGTTTTTTTCTCATCAAGTATATAGCTGCTTCTTTTTTCATTTTGCAATTTTCTATTTCCTTTATCTTTAAATATTTGATCTTGACATTTAATGTCACAAAGATTTTTTTAAAAAGCTATTTAAACTTTTAAAATCTGGCATTTTTTGGTCTTCTTTAGCCTAAGATCTTACAAATACTTAAACAAAAATTCCCCTGTACCCAAAATATTTTAGGATCCTTATCCACAGGCCTACAGAATATTTCTTTGTTCTTCACTAGATCTACATGATGTAGCCATTTGCAGACATCCACCTCCTGGGTTTCTGTTCTTCCTTATGATTTCCAACCTGCAGTCTCATTGATCAGCAGCCACTGTGGTTTGTTTTCTGTTTTTTTCTTATTCTTAACAACTTCCTCTATAGTGATAAAAATAAATTTTACAAGCAAAACAACATAAAAAGACAAAAGGAATTTCTCTCATACCACATATACCATTAGGCCTTGCCACTGCTTTAATGTAGACTCAGTTAAAGTTAGTGCAGAATGAATTCAAACTTATAGAACTTTTTTTGATCATTGATATGCTTAGTATGCTGCCATATAAGATGAATTTAGTTATGTTCAAGCAAAGCAATACACTCTTACATAATTTCTAGGCCCCACGACCCAGTGTCTACAGATATTAATATTAAACAGTTGTTTACTTTTAAATGAGCAATTTCATTTTGGGAAACATGTTTCAAAAGACTATATATATACATAAGTAAAATTATTCTGTGGCTAGCGTAGTCTATTTAGAGAATGTTTATGGTCCCACTTGTATATGAAAATGTGGTTAGAATGTGAATTGGATAAGTATATATAAGAAGTTAAGTAAAGAATGTAAAGTAAAACTTCTGCCATATTTTGGAACACTGTTTAGTATTTTTGCAAAACCTTCTTGTAGGAAAAAAGAGCTCTCTACATGAAGATGACTTGTTTTCTATTTGAGATTTTATTTTAAAAGCTGTGTTTGTTAAGCAAGAAAAAACACAAAAGAATCCCGTATTCCTATTTCGTCATTCTGTATTCTTAATCACTTTTTCAACTTGTCTGTTTTGTTGTGTAAATTGTTAACTATTCATAGAACAGCAAACAAACACCTGTTTAATGAAGAATCTGACCAAGGCTATAAAAGCCAGTTACCTTATTTTCAGTATCGTTGGTTATATTTAAATTTTCCTTATAATAAAGCACACTTTTATAATAAAATATACGAATTACTGTTTTTAATACCTTTTTGCTTGTTTCTTTAGTATGACTTGCACAGTGGATAATACGTTGAAAAGCATGATAGAGATGTGACATGTGGAAGCTAAACCCCCAGGCATAAAATAGCAAGAAAGTATGGTTCTGCTTGGCAATAGGTTTTTACACTTTGAAACTTGTGGACGTGTGTGGGAGAAATGATTGTGGCTTGTTGCAAATTTGACCATTTAGGATAACCAAATAAGTCTGGCTAACTAGGGAATTTATGTGTAAAATTATCTAATTAAAACAGCTCAAGTTTGACTTGTGGATGTCATTATTTATTCACTAACCAAGAATCCTTCCTGTGGGGGAATCCTCTGCTGATGTGCTGAATTGAGTCTCCTGATGCATTGTGTGGCTAAGACAAAGGTTAGGAATTCTTCCCAGAGAGCAGAGGTGCTTCCCCTTATTTGTTTTAAATAAATATGAGTATGTTTTCTTCATATCATTATGAACTAGGGCTTTATGCATATATTTTAAGATATACACTACCGGTGACACAAGTAGGGTGAATGTATATGGGTTACTCTTTGGGTTACTATGGTAAATTCTGGCTAGCAGTTCATTTAAAATGCTTCAAGTGAAACAGCATGAAGCGAGGTACTTTGTATTTTACTGAAAAGGTTAAGAAAAATGCTGTATTCTTTTCCTTTCCAAAGCATCTTTAAAAATACTGATATAACCAGGTGTGGTGGCTCATGCCTGTCATCCCAGCACTTTGTGAGGTGGAGGTGAGAGGATTACCTGAGCCCAGGAATTTGAGACCTGCCTGGGCAACTTAGTGAGACCTTGTCTCTACAATGTATACAAAAATTAGGTGGGTGTGGTGGTGTGCACCTGTAGTTCCAGCTACTTGAAGGGTTGAGGTGGAAGGCCTGAGCCCAGCAGGTCGAGACTGCGGTGGCCGTGAGTGTGCTACTGCACTCCAGCCTGGGCGACAGAATGAGTCTCCGACTTAAAAAAAAAAAAAACTCGATACTAAGGCCAAGTAGGGGGCGGAAGCAAGAGAATGCCTGAGTCCAGGGTTTTGAGACCAGCCAGGTATGGTAGTGCATGTCTGTAGTTCCAGCTACTTGGAAGACTGAGACGGAAGGATCGTCCGAGCCCAGTAGGTCAAAGCTGTGGTGGCCATGAGCGTGCCACTGCAATCTAGCCTGGTCGGTGGAATGAGACTCCAACTTAAAAAAAAAAGCGATACTAAGGACAAGTGGGGGGCGAGAGCCCCCCAGCCAGTGGAAGGCCCCAGCCTTTCAAGTACAGGCACACGCCACCAAGCCCCAAGCCCGGCTAATTTTTTGATTTATTGTAGAGATAAGGGCTCACCAAGCTGCCCAGACTGGTCCTGAACCCTGGGCTCGGGCAATTCTCTCTTCTCAGCCCCCAAAGTGCTGGGATTACAGGCATGAGCCACTGTGCCCAGCCTTCCAGAATACTTTTAAAGACAGCAAAACTGGTTGCGCAACTGAAACCATTTAGTTGTTTCTTTTCAAAGGTATAAAAAAAACCCCATTATTTGTAAGTGCAATGAATTATGGAAATATAAGCAGTAATGTACACCAGGTATTTGCAGAAGACTTGTGTGCCCAACATTAACTATGAGAGCTTAAATCAGTTCAGTTTGTATACCTAAGACAATCAATGACTTCACTAGTCGTTTACTTTGTGTGTCAATGGCAGAACTTATGGAGAATTGAGATCTCTTGATTCCTCATGCAATTCTTAGACTCAAGTATTTTCCAAATAATGTTAATGAACCTAATATATAGAGAAATGTGTCTCAGGTTTCCAATGCAGAGAGTAAGACTATTTTGAGATGGAAACTTTGTCTGACTGACAGATCTGGGTATTTCTTTACCTTTTTATGTTCTAAGTTTTTAAATCTAAAAGTAGGCCCAGTGCAGTGGTTCACGCCTATAATCCCACCACTTTGGGAGGATGATGTGAGAGAATTGCCTGAGTTCCTGGGTTCGAGACCAATCTGGGCAACTTGGCGAGACCTCATCTTTATAATAAAAAAATTAGCTGGGTGTGGTGGCATACACCTGTAGTTCCAGCTACTTGGAAGGCTAAGGCAGAAAGATCACCTGAGCCCAGCAGGTCGAGACTGCAGTGGCCATGATGCATGCAACTGCACTCAAACTTGGGTGACAGAATGAGACTCAAACTCAAAACAAATAAAAATAGATCTAAAAGTACCTAGAAAATCCTGAAGCAGCATATATCATTTCTATATGGGAAAATGTGGAGATGTATGATATGGAGGTAATGTTTACACCTTAAAAGTGAAATATCACCCATTATGAAGGTAGTTTCTTCAGACTGATGTAACTATAGCCCGAGCCCTATCATTTTCCCAAAAATAAAAAATGTGACAGCAAAATATATACATATGAAATAATGTTATCACTAATTATAGCTGATTGATTATAGGATATAAATACATTTTTTACTCTCACCTGGAAAAACAAAATGACTTTTTTCTCAACCACAAGGGATAGTTTGAATGTGAGTTGGAAACGGACTGTGAAATGACAAAAGCAGCTGTGGCTGCCCTTGACTGTAACAAATCAGACGTGAAACCCTGGACGTTTTCTATTTAACTCGAAAAAAGGTTTACAAAGTAGAACCCTTGGAGGAATTTATGATCAGCAAATATGGCCAGTCGAAATCTTGGATAATTACTGTTTTTTTCATCTTGGTCCTAATTGGAAGCCTTTCTGGGTCTTGCTGAGGAACAAGAGAATAAACTGTGCATCTCAGGAATGTCACTACCTCTCCTAGGCAAGAGGAAACATTTAATGCAAGGGTACTTCCCTTTACATAATGACTACATGCTTGAAATGTATACAAATGACATTTATTTTTTTGAGTTAGAGTCTCACTCTTTTGCCCAGACTGGAGTGCAGTGGCACACTCAAGGCCACTGCAGCCTCGACCTGCTGGGCTCAGGCGATCCTTCTGCCTCAGCCTTCCAAGTTGCTGGAACCACAGGCATGTGCCACCACACCCGGCTAATATTTCTTGATCTATTGTAGAGACAAGGTCTCACCAAGTTGCCTAGGCAGGTCTTGAAGCCCAGGGCTCAGGCAATTCTCTTGTTTCCACCTCCCAAAGTGCTGGGATTACAGGTATGAGCCACCTTGCCCCACCACAAATGACATTTTTAAAAAGCCAAATATTTTAATTATTTTAGGAAAAGTGCTCACTATAAAGACATCTTTATATGCTATATAAACTTGAAGGAGTTGAAGTGTATTAATTTGACAAATACTTTGCGTGATTAGCACTGTGAGGGAGATAAAAATGAATGAGTGCTTATCACATGGCTAGAAGATAAGACCTGTTTTCAAATAATAGCAATGACTACGTAGAGGAAGTGACAGAGCACATGGAAACTACTTAAAGTCAACGTTCAAAACAGCATATGGTATACAGCACTATAGTATACTGTTTATTAGAAAATTCATGCTGTTTATTTCCCCGATTTTTCATTTGTTTAGTAGCCATGTAATTTACTGATTGCTTATTATGGACCAGACAAAAAGATGCATAAGGGGTGGTGATGGATAAAGACGGGGGAGATAATATAAACGGGGGGAGGCAAATGTAAGGAAAAATATTGTTTAGCATAGTGTGATAAAAGCCATGGACATGCTATTGCTATGATTTTAATTACTCTTTACTAGACGGAATTGTCCTTAAAATGTACTCAGCTAGCAACTAAAATAAAATACACAGAGAGGCACCTAGGATACCAAATAGGAGTAGAAAATGTGTAAAACAGAGAGTATTAAACAGTTCCAATAGCAGGAATACCTATTCTAAAAAACTTGAAATGACGTAGGAACCGTCATTTGACCTTGATTTTATGAATTGAAAATGAAATGAAGTAGAATTATTTGTTGCCATCTCTAAAGACATTTTTATTTATACCCAAGTGGAAAACCTGATAATAAACGTTTTGAGAACTGAGACCAAATAAAAGGGTAGTTCCTTCTATGTCCTGAGGATGCCCAGGTTTATTTCTCTAGACTTGCATCTTCTAAACTCCAGATGAATATATTCAGCTGCCTACAGGACCCCTGTACTCGAATTTCTTGCCTGCACGGCATGCTCATCATCTAAGGTTGAACCCATCCTTTCCCCTCCTCCCAGGCCCCAGATCTCTCCTCTCCAGCATTCCCTATCCCACTGGGTCACGTCAGCACACTCCCCAACAGGCAATTACCCAACAGCCAACAGCCATTCTTGATTCCTCCTTTGTCCATAGATTCTTCTTGCTAATGCACTAGCACAGCCACTTAAGAGAGGTCTTGCTTTCTGGTTATGGGAGCAAAGTCTAAACTTTTAGTTGTATCAGAAATGACAAGAAGTAGAGGCATGTATTGCTTAGTTCTAAAATGGCAATCATCAGCTTCCAGGGATTTCATTACAACTTGCATTTACCTGGAACTGTGAACAAAGTTAATTATAAAATTAGCTAATTTTAAAGTATAGTAAGATATATGGAAGGATATTTGCGAGTGTCTTAAATAACCAAGAAAGATACTATCTGAAAGTTTTGGATACTTACTATTTTAATTCACACGTGTGCTCAATTTCCTAATTTTGGTACTTGAGTGATTTCATTTGTTTACCTTTTGATTATTCAAACTGATTATTCTCAATATTCAGGCAGTGCCGTGTGCTTGAATTTTTTTTCAGTTCAGCAAAGCAGTTATTGGTTTGCCAGACATGGTGGAATTGGAAATATATTATTTCACTACTAAATAGGATTTATCATTTTTTTAAACTATCTCTGACACATTAGAACTTGATGTATTTTTAAGGTAGCAAGAAATTTTATAAACTGCTGAAAAGATATTTTGATTTGAGATGATAATTTCTTGATATATTCTGGCATATATTTTGTGTGTATGTGTGTGTATAGATATTGTGACTATACTAACCAAGAGAAGGTATTATTTAAAGAAGCTGATTTTTTAATGGCAACTTTATCATGGGAACATCTTAAGGACAGATAAAGACTGTAATTATATCTATTTTAGCCCAAGAGTATAATTTACATATGTAAAAATTTCCCAGGAGATTTTTATCAGTTTTGATCTTTGTTCTGGCCTATATATTGGCTAGTTTTGTCAGTCACTCAATTAATGATGATGTCCCTGCTAAATACACATAAGACACCAATGTGGACATTTGGTTCCCCAAACTAGTCAGGAAATAGGGCTATTCTCTGTTTAAAGGTGTAGAGAATTCTA